ACTAAATTGGGCCACACATACCTGGCAATTAAATTATGAGCATGGAACACCCAGATCACATCTGCAGACGAAATCTGAGGATGTACCTGGAAAAAGTATATAGTTAGGTCCTCGTGAATACGGTCTTGAATAATGGATTCTGAGAGCAATTGAGAGCTATTTAAAGGGAATAAAGGAGAGAAGGGAGGAAATTAGCTGCCCAAGTCCCTGAGATATTCTAGAACCCTGGAGTAGGAAATTGGGGGGGATCCCCAGCTTCTCTCTCTCTCTCTCTTCTCTCTCTCTCTCTCTCTCTCACACACACACCCTGTGATTCCTCATTGCTTCCCTGCTTAGAATAATAATAATTATCATATATATAATTCTGCTTCCGGCTTTGGCGACTCGCTGTGCGGGTGTGCTCCATCACAGTTCTGATGTGAGCGCCTCGCAAACGTACCGATGGGGGGTCTAAGTTGATCTTGGACCCCCCAGACACCTTGTAGGGGGGGTCTCAGCCTGGGGCGCAAGAGGTGCCTCTCCCAAGGCAGAAGCCAAAGGATTGAGGCACCTTTTTTGCCCCAATAGGCCCCCTGGCACAAAGCCAGCATGGCACCAAGAAGCACACACTGGACAGAGTGTATAAGGATCCCAAGAAACGATCCTCTCTACATGCCTAGTGAATGCAAGTACAAATGTGAGTGAAGCTACGATCCAGCAAACAATCGATAAATCATTACTAGTAAAGCTGCCCCAAACAAGCGGAAGGGGGAGGGAAATGCCTGATCCCGAAATGATGGAGTTTAAAGCAGGAGGCGGAAAGGGTGGCTCGAAGGAAGCGGGTTGCGATGAAGTGTGCAGCGGATCAGTAAGAAAGCGATAAATTCCAGACTTACGGAGAACTTTTAAACTTTCCTCTTGTATAAACATTGACGCAGCAAGAGAAAAAATGGCATTGAAAGCGGAACTTATAATTATGAACTGCCAGCACAGCATTGCTGGTCACCAGACCGGAAGTAACCACAGACTTTCCCAAACTGACTGCTGTAGCTTTGCGCCCTCTGCTGGACCAGATAACCAACCTTAATGTCAAGCGAGACAAGTTGCAAAAGGAACTCAAAGAAATTTCAGCGAGAAATAAATAAAGTGGATGTTCCTGAAGCAACAACAGAAAGCAGAAGATGGACCTGAGAAAGTGGAGGAGAACAAAGACACAAGAAGAAGAAGAAGAGGAAGAAGAGGAAGAGGAAGAAGGCGAAGAGAAAGAAGGAGAAGAGAAAGAAGAAGACGAGAAAGATGGGGAAGGCTGCGATACCATCTCGAAGAGTCTGGCAAAACTTTTTAATTTTGAAACAGAACTAAAAATTAATTTGGACTTTGATAAGAGGAAAGTCAATGACAAAATAGCTTAACTCTGATAGCCTGATGTCTATTTTAATGCATAACTTTAATTCTATGATAATTACACTTTAGCTAAAGAGACTGTGGTTGCTTGCTTGACATTTTTGCATTAGTAATCTTCATGTGCTACTACTATGTTAACAGAGATGTATCGATTACTTTATATGTCTGTATTATGGATCCTTGTTACTCTTATTTTAGGTTTTCCATTACCCTGACCCTGTGGTTTTGTAGATTAGAAAATATATATAATTCTGAACTAGGATTGCCAAGTCCATCTTCCACCCCCAGCGGGGGACTTTGGGGGCGTTCCTAGAGGGGGCGGGGCATCCCCAACGTGATGACATCACGTTGGGGACATCCGTTGGGCCCCCCTGCCTGCGCGCTGGATCTCCAGAAACGCCAGTTCCCTGCACTTAAAGGAGCCGGTGTTTCCCTTTTAAGTGCAGGAGCCGGCGTTTCCCCTTTAAGAGCAAAGAGCTGAGTTTCCCTTTTAAGTGCACAAAGCTGGCATTTCCCTGCAAGCCTGAAGTGGAGATTGGGCTTGGGAGGAAACAAGGGTTCCACGCACTTAAAGGCAGCCACCCCTCTCTCTCTCAAGAGAGAAGGGAGAGGGGTGGCTGTGGGGGCGGGGCTTCCCTGCCAGCCATCTGGCCGGTGGTGGGTAGAACCTACCCCAAAATGGGGGATCCCTGGCAAACCGGGGGGTTTGGCAACCCTATTCTGAACTGGGCCATAGAGTTTGGATTAACAGATCTGCAAAATGGAGCTAGCAACAGATAGCAGAGTCTAATTTGGGAGAACCGGGTTTGATTCCCCACTCCTCCACATGTAGATGCTGGGTGACCTTGGGCAAGCCACAGTTCTCTCAGAGCTGTTTTCTCAAGAGCAGCTTTCAGTTAGAGCTGTCTCAGCCCCACCTACCTCACAGGGCATCTGTTGTGGGGAGAGGAAAGGAAGGAGATTGTAAGACACTCTGAGACTCCGAATGAAGGGCATGGTATAAATCCAATCTCTTCTTCTCCTCTTCTCTACAAACCTGGAGGGTCCCAATAGGACTGCCGGCAGAGACTGGTCGGGGTGGGATTTACTGTAATGATATCCTGCAAAGTTGCAACATCACTTCCAGCTGCATAACCAGAAGTGACGTCACCAAGTTGTGCCCCATTGTAGCATTCATCTGAAACTCTGCAGTAAGAACTATAGATTTCCAGGTGTACATCTCATGACACAGTAATATCACTTCCATTTATGCAGCCAGAAGTGATGTTGCAGTGTCATGGGATGCAGGGGCTGGGGGAGCACTAGCAGGAGTTTCCCCACTGACAAAAGGCAAATGGCAATCCTAAAACTCCCCCAAATAATAGAAAAAATGCCTGCAGTTTTCAAAAAAGGATGCCTGCTCAGCACTCAGTGGCCATTGGGAGGTTGCTGGGTAACCACAGCAGTGTTGCTGAGCCAAGCCTTGACTTCTGTAACTTGGAGGCCAAAACAGCCCCAGAAAAAGTCTTGTCCTCTTCCCCATCATGTTCCCTGATGGAGGAGGACTCACTGAATACAGGCCTGGCAGCAGCTACTGGAGACTCACTACCCACACAACTGGCTTGGGTGGCAGCCACCACACAGCTGGACCCAGCCCTAGTAGTGCCGGCAGCCACTTTTCCCAGTCTGCTAGGGGAGGGAAGGAGGGAAAGCTGAAGACAGGGCAACAGATAAAGGTAGATGGGCTGGTGAGTGGAGAGGAGAGAAGGTAGCAGGAAAAGGGAAGAGGCTGTGGGGGCTGCTGGGGACAGGAAAGAAGAAATGGTGGGGGAGAGGATACAGTCAAAATTAAGATGCTCCCCTCAAGTCCTTGTCGATCCCTGCTTGTAATAATAACAACAATGATAAATAAATAGGCTGCCATTACCTATGTATCCACAGTCATTGATACCTATTGGAATAAAGTCTGTTCCACATATAAAAACTTTACAAAGCTTAACCTGTTGATGCTGCCAACAGTATTATTCAAACCACTTAACTACTGAAACTCTGTATATGTTTTTTTAATCTTTGCCTTGGTAGGTGTATATAACCCTGGCTAGGAATAAAATTCCCTCTTTATCCACCACTCTCCAGCTGCAGATGAGGTGGTAGAACTACTCCTTTTTGTAGAGTCACTCAAGCAGCACATTTACTGTTGCCTTCACTTTGATGTTTCTGGCAATAAAATGAATATTTATACAGGAAAGTACAATTAAGGATTCAGAAGCACAAGCTAAACAATGTTTACAGAGTTAAAAAGAAGAAGGCAAGCTGGACAAAATGAGAGGAATTGTATTTTGACTGTCACTTCTGCCACTAGCGTGACTATTGCCAAATGACAAGTTGGCTGAGTATCTTGAAATCAAATCAATCATTTCTACATGAACTGGGTGCTTGCTATCCTTGAGATGATATACCATGTACAAAGAGACAAATCATGTGGTTATCAGGACATTTTGCTAACCATTGTCACATTTTGCTATCTGGAACACAGAAGGAAATATTTGTAAGGTATTTTCATCTACAAACTTTTTATTTTGGGATTAGCGTTCCCCATGGAGACAATAAAGCCTAAGTATGTGACCTTAAAAGTATGATATAGATTGTTTATTTATTAAGGCTTTTCCTAGCGATGGAGTAGGCGGAATTTGTTTATTTTTTTCCTCTATTATTGCTATACTTTAGGCTTAACTGTCTGACCTAGTGTGCCCGTAAGTAAGTTTCCTTGTAACCACAGTGCAAGATTAATAATAACTGTTAACAGTTAGTTTTCAAGCAAAGATTTCTAGATGCAGGTATTTGCCCCAATCTAGACATTACGTATGATGGAGTCTACCATATTTTTTTTTATTGGGCATATGGTTGGATGGATCCATCATCCCTAGCCACAGTAATGGTGTAAAAGTGGGGGAACTACCCGCCTATTTTTGATCTCAGGCATCTCTGTGTATTAAAGAACCCACCATGCATGCAATTGTGGTTATGGAAGGAATTAATTTCTCCCATACTTGCAGCAGTGTTTTGCACATATAGTGAAGGAATTCCATGTGTTAAAGTCAAAGAGATGAGCCACATTTCTGTTTCTGAATCTTATGTAAAAACACCCAATTTGTATGCTATGTCTGTTAGTTATTATTTAGAAAAGGAAGCAAGACTGTTTTCTGTGCCTGAGATCTAGAACTGATCTTACAGTACTAGTGGGATGAAACATTTATTTCTGTAAAGGGATATTTCCAGAAATAAGTAGACTAATAGATTTGTTATGGCATAAGCTTTTGTGTCTACTTCATCAGGTGTATTGAGTGTCTCAGAGAGAGAAATAAATATTGTAAATCAGAGGAGTCAAATGACAATGGAATGCAAGAGATTCATAGTCTATAATTTCTATGCAAAGCTCATATGTATACAAGATAAACATAGTGACTTGTCCCATGGAATTTTAAACTAAAGACATCACTGAAAATTAAATTAATATAAGTGCAACTGGTGAACATAATTTTGTCAATTCATTTTATCCCCATTTAAACCCCAATTTACCTATTTTTCCTTTCTGTTGTCTTAAGGGAAATGGAATTTCCATATTGTTTTTTCCTTACCTTTGAAGCCATTGTTCTTCTGCAGTTGTCATATTAGGCTTCACATGTAGAGACAGACCCTTGTGGAATATGCGTAACAGTTCATCTTTGTTCAGAAGCTCATTCCTGGTAGTACCATTTTTTAGTGAGCCTTGAAATGAAATGAAACATTGGTAGGTAAATTATTACCTTTTGGGCCCTTTAATGAACTATGTTCAGTTAAGGAAACAAGAGAAGTTGAATTATGTTTGGAGGGCCAGGCTGGTCCATCTCTTCAAATATGGTATTTTGAAGAAGGCAGTGTTTAGACAGACAGACAGACAGACAGATTCCATCCCTGATTTTTTTGGAAATTAAAAAAAGGAAAAGGCTTAATTGTATGCTTTTCTTCCTAAGTACATAATGACAGGAGTCTTAATTCCATACAACGTTTATTCTGTTCATGTCAAAATGGGTTCAAAAGGCTCCCCAAAGAAATTAGACAGGCTCTATTCTAATTCATGGTTCTGTTAGAATTTGGAAGAATAAGAAAGAAAATGATGCCCTGTATCACTTTAATTGAAGTCCTTTCCACACAATCAATTTGTTTTCACCTATGGGCACTGTCTGGACCAAGGACAAACACTCTCCCGTTCTCAGGTGCTGAGCTCACAGCCACCTGGGGCCTTGGGATTCTCACTGGGTCCTGTGCTGAGGCTCTTTTTCATCTGGGTTCCTCTCAAGGATGCAGACAGACACTCAACAGACACTCCCAGCGTGGTGGGTTAAAAAATACCTCTGCATTTATTTGAGTCCTACAAATAACTAAGAGTGTTTGCTCGGCAGAATTCACTCACAGATTATAGCACAAAACAACAACAACACTATACTTGCACTGGGCAGAGGATGAGCCTGAAGTATTAACTCCTTGTGGCTTCCTTCACTGGGGTAATCTTGTGACCTGGCTTTCTCACCCGAAGGCTTAAGAATGAGAGTCCACTCCCACGGGCATAGTCCACAGGTTTTCAGCTTGCAGTCCTGGAGGCCTCAGCCTGTTCGTTTCCTGTGTGACTACTGCTCCCCTCCTTGGTCCCCCTGGCAGCCAGATAAAGGCATCTTAAGCAGCTGGCCAAGGCCACCAGGTGTTTTTAATCAACGCTCAACCCAAACAGGCTGCAACCAACCTGTGAAAACTTATAGCTTGGTCGCATTAATGAAAGCCTGAGATCTGTAAATTCTAATCCTTACAGGCACACATACTGAAGGTTCTTTGGGAACACTTGTTAATCTGTAACTGACTGCCATCTTGTATTATCTGATTTATATGTTTTAATACTATGTAGATTATGTTTTAACTGTTTTAAATTTATTGTATATATCTACTGTTGTGACCCGCCCTGAGCCATGCAGTGCAGGGAGGGGTAGAAATTTAATGAAACAAATAAATAAATTTTGGAGTTAAGTGTGCATTTGTTGCACACAGTCCTCACATCTTCTCTGAAAGATGCACTCACATTGCAGAAATACCATTTTGTACAAGCAAACTGCAACTTTTCGTATTTGGGGGAATTCAGCATTTCCCCCAGGTAGTACATACATTGCTATTATTTAATTGAAACACTGAATGTAGTGCCCTGACCTGGGAGAGCACCAAGGAAGTCCAAAGTTGCTATACTGAGGCAGGCAATGGCAAACCACTTTTGTTTGTCTCTTGCCTTGAAAACCCCATGGGGTCTGAAGGAAAAAAATGTCCTTTAGCATGACTAACGTCATTTCATAGTGCTGTTTGATCTGCTTGCTTAGGGATGAACTTCTGTACCCCAGGAGCTGGCAAAATAACGGGCAATGGCAGAAGCAGTTTCAGCCAGCTGAGCACAGGTTCTTAACAGTAGATAAGACCTCACACTCCAAGAATGTGGGAACACACTCTCAGACATATGCAGTACACTACTAGCTATGCTTGCAAATGTCTGCAGATAACTGGATGTACTGTGATGCTATGCTATGTAATTGGTGGGAATGCAGGTGATGTAAAGATGACATAAATTTGAGTATAAATGTAAGGTATTTTGGAGAAGGAGGAAGGAGAATGCTTCTGTAACTTTTGTAGTTAGGAAGGATTCTATGGGTTGTTATTGGTCTGAAATGACACATGCTTCTATTAATTAATTTTAGAACTCTGAAATGAAATGATGTACCGAGTATACTGCGTTAGTTTGCTGCACTTCTGATTATATGGCTCTAGCTTTGTTTACAGTTGACAACTTTACTATTATATTTGCTGTTTGATCTGTTTAAAAAGAAAACTTTTCAATAAAAATTATTATTTTTTTTTAAAAAAGGAAGGATTCTATGGGTATGGTACAATAAAGTTGTCTTAGAGATGTTTCATGATCTCCGTGTGACTATTGGATTAAGAACCCCTCACCGGGATTCAAGTATTTCACCATCAGGTCACCATAACTTGACTGCAATTTGATGGTACTCTACACGCACACACTGGCTGAGGACAGACTGGCAGCAGAGGTCATTTCGGGGGCGATCGCGGGGGATTGCAGTTCCCCCGGGTGAGGTACAGGGGGCGGGGCAATTGCATTTTTACTGTGATGAGTATAGTAAAAAGAAACATGGTTTCCCATCCATGCTGTGCATGTACCCATTTCCTAAAGCAGAACCCTAAAAATCTAGGGTCCTGTTCAGATACATCCAGAAAAACTAGTAGCCACCATATAACATTTCCATGTCAACACAGATGTGATCCCTTTAAAAAGTCCAAGCTCCAACTGTGGCATTGAACAAATTTCAAAGATTTGTTAAACATTTTATGGTGATGACAATTTTATAGTAGTAAAATTAACTTTTCTCAAATGGTACTTTTCCTCCTTGTAGGAGGCTAAAAAGACATTCCACAAGGAAATCATATCATCATATCCTAGGACAGTGAGTTCATCTTTGCCAACAAAGTGTTAAGTTTCTATGCAGTTTTTACTTAATTGTTCTCTCTGTTCCCTCATGTCTCTCAGCTGCCCACATTTCTTTCTTCTAGTCGACTGTTACTACTCCCTTCCCGTCTCCCCTCTCATACTAACAGAAATACAAAACCGGAGTCTGTTGTGGGGAGGGGAAGGGAAAGGAGTTTGTAAGCCGCTCTGAGACTCCAAGTGAAGGGCGGGGTTACGGGGTATAAATCCAATCTCTTCTTTTTCTTCTTCTTGGGGCATTTATCCTGGACACTAGGGTTGTAGTTGACACAAAACAGCCAACTAGTCAACTGTATTGCTCCTGATGCACAACAGCTCCCTCCCTTTGCCTATTTCTGTTTGAATGGGGTACCATATTTGGATCAACCTGTCCTGCTGGGCAAATGCAACATATTTTTTCCTCATCCTCAGAAAAACTGAGGGGACAGTAGAAGGAAGGAGGATGCGGAGATGGGCTCCTGTCTCAGGTACCAAAATACCCATATGAACTGGGCATAACTATTAGCATGAGTAAGTTGTTCAAGCAATATCCCACACATTCTCAAATGAAAAAGAAAAGGGCTTACCCATCTTTATTATCCATGCACTTCAGCCAATACTGCAAGAAGACTCTGTGTTTAGTTTTTACAAGGGCATGCAATATCCATTCAGATAGGAGAGTTGAAGAATATACCTTCCTAGTTGTCTGAATAAACATTAAGCTCAAATAGAAGGCAGAATAATTGCCTTTTAGTAACAAAGTTGTGTTGACTGGACAAGACCCTTTTTCTTCCAGCCCTCTGAGTAGACAACTACTATCTCCGATAATAATGCAATAACCGAGGGCAGGTAGGACTGCAGCACAGTGCAGAGCTGGTCATTCTACATGGATGCTAATCTGAAGTCTGCAAGAGAACAACCTTTCTTCAAAGAGCTTCTTCTTCTCAGGGGCCCAAAACAGAGGGCTATATCTTCTTGTACAATTCATGTGGTTTTGTTGTGTGATGCGGATGGTTCCTTTTAATCTCTAGCAGTCTTGGTGCAGTGGCTCTCTTGAGTTCAGGTGATTCAATGAGAGAAGCTGTATGTTTGTCTGGCTGCATACTGCAGTGGCACAGCAGAGAAGATGTATGCCTTGGCATACCGAAGAGCTCCTTTTGCCATAAAACCTCACTGATGACAGGAGTAGAATATCAAGCAGCAGTTTTTAGTTTTCTGCTGTCTGCTCACAACCTTGGAGAAAGGAAGAAACTAATTCCATGTGTAATATATTGCAAGACAGATTGGATAGCCCAGACTTTTGAGAGAGGATGGCAGCGTGGGACAGTTTGTTAGGAAATAATACACACCTATTATCTGGTCCTTGGGGCAAATTCGTGTCTAAGGAAAATGATGTTCCTTAATCAGTATTAGAGTGAAGGGTTTGTTTATTTGGGGGCAGAAGCAATACAGTTATTGCTATAATGTATTTGAAGGATTTTTAAATATGCTTTATACATGCTAAATATTAACTGTACTATGCAACAACTGGCATGTCCATTGTTTGGATTATTTAAACAACTATATTCTTGTTATAGTTGATTCTTGAATGCTTCCTGAATGAAATGTGGGCAGCTGAGAGACCTGAGGGAGCAGAGAGAACAATTAAATAGAAACTTTGTAGAAGAAGAAGAAGAGAAGAAGAGATTGGATTTATACCCCGCCCTTCACTTGGAGTCTCAGAGCGGCTTACAAACTCCTTTCCCTTCCCCTCCCCACAACAGACACTTTGCTGGCACTGTCCTAGGATATGATGATATGGTTTTATTGTGGAGTGTGTCTTGCTCCAGCAAAATGCCTTCTTTGAGTACAACTCTGCACACTTTTCTTGCTTTGTACTATTAAGAACTTTTCAGCCTTCCTCAGTTGCCTTCTAGGTTTTGCCAGCTGCTCAGTGCTTTGGGGCAGTGGAATGGCATGAAACTGAGACCCCTTTTCCTTGAGGCCTTTGACTGCTTCCGCAATTCCAAACTGGTTGCAATTTGACATTCAGTCAGCACAGGAGATATATGAAAGCAAGCAACCAGATTTTACAGGTGCAAGTGTATTGCAATCCTTGTTCTTATAACCCACCCTTTCCACAAAATCTGGCTTGACTTGTACCATAAGTATCAACCTCAGTGGGCAAAGAGTAATGACTACTTACCTTCAACACGCTCTGTTTGATCCTCTTTATTGCTCCTCCCTTTCCCTTTGTTCCGAAGTCTGATGGAGCGATAGTATCTGGAATTCCTTCTAATAGGAATATAGTGCGACTGTGGATCTTTCTCAGTCATTTGATCAAAAGTCTGTGACTTGTCATGCTCACAGTTCAAGTCCAGGCATGATACTGCCTGTGAAGAACTATCCTTCCTGAAACCATTGGCTGATTTCCCATTGTGTCTTTCCATCTCTTCCAGTTCTTCAGTCTCCATGGAAACAGATCTAATTGTTTAATAACACAGCCGATGATGAATGGGAACCTTCATAGACTTCATCAGATATCTCTGCTTTAAAATTAAAAACAAAGGATAGGACAGTTTTTCCAGGGACCAAGAGTAGTTTTTCCCCTACAATAAAACAGAACCAGCCACTGTCTTGGCCCTTTTTTTGTTTTTTAGCCTAGGTGTAATTTCAGTTGATAGCTTTCAAGGTTACCCAATTGTTGCCAACATTACTTGAAACGAATGCTATTATACTTTCAAAATAATGTGTCTGATCTTTCCCTCCAAGCACCTTTCCAATGAATTGATTCAGCATGAAAAAAGTGATTAAAGCTGGAACCCCGTATTTGTATCTCATAGAATTGCTTCTAAATAGAAGACAACTAGGCCTTCTTCAAACTCCTCGAAGCCACAGTTTTCCCTTTCCCTTTGTATTGAACATGTAGAAACAGAAACAACAGAAAATAAGCTATGCAGAAATTGCTAGAAATACAATTATAACTTGTTACACGTTTTGGGGAAAAAAAGATCCAAAAATGTATCCCACTTTCACTCTATGAAGCAGAGGTCAGACTACAAGAAATAGTTCCACTTGATCAACAACACTGAGAGGTGGTAAGCAGTGGGGTACCGGAGGGCTCAGTACTGGGTCCAATGCTTTTTAACTTGTTCATTAATGGTTTGGAGTTGGGAGTAAGCAGTGAAGTGGCTAAATCTGTGGATGACACGAAATTGTTCAGGGTGGTGAAAACCAGGGAGGATTGTGAGGCACTCCAAAGGGATCTGTTGAGGATGGTTGAGTGGGTGTCAACATGGCAAATGGGGTTCAATGTGGCCAAGTGCAAAGTGATGCACATTGGGGCCAAAAATCCTAACTATAAGTACACAATGGTGTCCAAACTGGCAGAGACTGACCAAGAGAGAGATCTTGGAGTCATAATAGATAAGTCACTGAAAATGTCAAGACAGTGTGCGACTGCAATAAAAAAGGCTAGCTCTATACTGGGGATTATTAGGAAGGAAATTGAAAACAAACCAGCCAGTATTATAATGCCCCTGTATAAATACATGGTGCAACCTCATTTGGAATACTGTGTACGATTCTGGTCACCACACCTCAAAAAGGATATTATAGCTTTGGGAAAAGTGCAGAAAAGGGCAACTAGAATGATAAAAGGGTTGGAACACTTTCCCTATAAAGAAAGGTTAAAGCGTTTGGGGCACTTTAGCTTTCAGAAACGATGACTGAGGGGTGACATGATAAAGGTTTATACGATTATGCATGGGATAGAACAGGTAGAGAAAGTACTTTTATCCCTTTCTCACAATACAAGAACTCTTGGGCACTCAATGAAATTGCTGAGCAGTCGGGATAGAAGGAAGTACTTCTTCACTCACAGAGTGATTAACACATGGAATTCACTGCCACAGGAGGTGGCGGCAGCTACAAGCATGGACGGCTTCAAGAGGAAATTGGATAAACATAAGGAGCAGAGGTCCATCAGTGGCTATTAGCCACAAGGTATAGATAGAAACTCTAGGTCTGAGGTGAGTGATACTCTGTATTCTTGGTGCTTGGGGGGGCAACAGTGGGAGGGCTTCTAGTGTCCTGGCCCCACTGCTGGACCTCCTGATGGCAGATGCTGGTATTTTTAGCCACTGTGTGACAGAGTGTTGGACTGGATGGGCTATTGGCCTGATCCAACATTGGCTTCTCTTATATTCTTAGAGGTAGGTTAGGCCCATGGTCACACAGTGAGCTTTGTGGCTGAGCGTGAGAACCCCCATCTTTCCCTCAGTCTAAGTCCAGCATCTTATTCACTGCTACACCACATAAGAACATAAGAACATAAGAACATAAGAGATGCCAATGTTGGATCAGGCCAAAGGCCCATCCAGTCCAACACTCTGTATCACACAGTGGCTAGAAATACCAGTGCCATCAGGAGGTCCACCAGTGGGGCCAGGACATTAGAAGCCCTCCCACTGTTGACCCCCCCTTCCTTTTATCCGTTCTAACCCGACCGCTCAGCAATTTCATGGAGTGCCCACGGGTTCTTGTATTGTGAGAAAGGGAGAAAAGTACCTCTTTCTCTACCTGCTCTTTCCCATGCATAATCTTATAAACCTCAATCATGTCACCCCTCAGTCGTCGTTTCTCCAAGCTAAAGAGCCCTAAGCGCCTTAACCTTTCCTCATAGGGAAAGTGTTCCAACCCTTTTATCATTCGAGTTGCCCTTTTCTGCACTTTTTCCAAAGCTATAATATCCTTTTTAAGGTGTGGTGCCCAGAACTGCACACAGTATTCCAAATGAGGTCTCACCATTGATTTATATAGGGGCATTATTATATTGGCTGATCTGTTTTCAATACCCTTCCTAATAATCCCCAGCATAGCATTGGCCTTCTTTATTGCAGTCACACACTGTCTCGACATTTTCAGTGAGTTATCTACTACAACTCCAAGATCTCTCTCTTGATCAGTCTCTGCCAGTTCAGACCCCATCAACGTGTATTTATATTTAGGATTTTTGGCTCCAATGTGCATCACCTTGCACTTGGCCACATTGAACCCCATTTGCCATGTTGATGCCCACTCGCCCATCTTTGACAGATCCCTTTGGAGTGCCTCACAATCCTCACTGGTTTTCACCATCCTGAACAACTTTGTATCATCCACAAATTTAGCCACTTCACTGCTTACTCCCAACTCCAAATCATTAATGAACAAGTTAAAAAGCAGTGGACCAAGTACTGATCCCTGCGGTACCCCACTGCTTACCCCCCTCCACTGAGAGAACTGCCCATTTATACTCACTCTCTGTTTTCTATGAATTAGCCAGTTTTTGATCCATAAAAGGACTTGTCCTTTTATCCCATGATTTTTGAGCTTACTTAGGAGCCTTTGATGAGGAACTTTATCAAAAGCTTTCTGGAAGTCAAGGTAAACAATATCTATTGGATCCTCCTTGTCCACATGTTTGTTCACCCCCTCAAAGAACATTAACAGGTTAGTGAGACAAGATCTTCCCTTACAGAAACCGTGCTGAGTCTGCCTCAATAGGTTTTGTTCATCTATGTGCCTACTAATTCTTTCCTTAATAATGGTTTCCACCAATTTACCCGGTATTGACGTCAGACTGACTGGCCTGTAATTTCCCGGATCTCCTCTGGAACCCTTTTTAAAGATGGGAGTGACATTAGCTACCTTCCAGTCCTCAGGAATGGAGGCTGATTTTAAGGAAAGATTACATATTTTGTCAGGAGATCCACAAGTTCACATTTGAGTTCTTTCAGAACTCTCGGATGTATGCCATCTGGGCCTGGTGATTTATCAGTTTTTAAGTTGTCTATCAGTTTTAGGACCTCCTCTTTCGTCACCTCAATCTGACCACATGGGATCTCCTCTAGAAACAGCAAGTGCAGAACAAACATGGTTTCCTTCTGCTATGGGGTGGATTCACAAAGTATGATAGCTCTAGTAGCTGCATTACCACCAGCAACAACTATTTAAACTGAATAGCAAGGATAAGACATTTATCACATTTCTCTCTTAAAACTATTGTCACTAGTGTTTTTGAATGTAATTGATTTATCCACACTTAGCAGGGGTGTACTGTTTTTTATGGGTAGAAAATTAGTAAGAAGGGGTAAATGAGTTTTAACCGTATGTGTTCTCTCCGTTTTCACATGTATTCCTCAATATTTGAAATACTGTTATACCTTAGCTACTAACTGCTCCTTGTCTGTTACCTTCTAAAAACGTCTGATACTAATAAGAAGTAACAAATGACAATTTGTTAACAAAGCCTACCTCAGCTTCTTGTTGCAACATTTCCCTTCTTCAATTATCTGGAGATATTTTTCTTCCATAATTTATGCAAGAATGTCATTTAGTTTAGGCATCGTGGCAAACCATGTTTTGCATTAATTATACCTGAAAAAAATGGCTTGAACTTCCAGATATGCAACAGGCAAATCATGGTTTAAGAACTGCTTGTCTGATTTTGTTTTTTTTTCTTTGGAGCTTTACTCCCTCTGTATACAATCTTTATACAATCTCTGGTGGTATCTATGGTTTGTCAGTTCAACCATCATGCCAAACTATAGTTCGCACAAGCCAATCCCAGTCATAACTTTTGATTGTAATCTGCTGGCTGATCAGAAACTATAGTTTCTCAATTCAGGCATCATATAAACAACATGCTTCCTTAACCAATAAACTCTGATTATGAATGCCTTGCATGTAGTTACTGATACTTCATTAAAGGAGGTGTGGCATTTCAGAGTGGCGATTAACCTTAGTGTTGATTTTTACTGCATTCAGGACTCAATTAAGGCATGACTGGAAGAACATACTATCTGTGTATGATCTACAGAACCATTTTGACAAGGCAACGATTTGCTGAAGCCATTGTGAGTTGACTTTTTGGGTGTGGTCTTGTGAATGTCGAGGTCATGGGTTACCATGTCCTGACTCAACTGATATTTTAGAGGGTTCAGATATGGGTTTGGCATTACATTTATGTGGCATATTTACATGATGTTATCATTCCATCGGCCAATTTGTGGTAGCTTTCACCATGTAATACTGGTGACAGGATTTAGCATCATACAAATGTCCTTATAATAATAATAAGAAATAAGCTGTCCCGTGACTGATAGGAGAACTACATTGATAGTGCAACATAAAACCTAAAAAAGATAATTAAAATTAATTATAGGAGTTCAAAAGAAGCATTTTGCTTTCTCACTGGGAAGCAGTGATGCCCAAACTGAACATGTGATT